GCAAAATGCCATTTATATTGTACGATTAAAATTAAGAAAAATTACCTATTTCTTTGCTAGATTTTCCCGATAGTTTCAAAGTAAGATCGCCAACAATGTCCGTACTCGTCTGGCAATCAACTTCTTTAAAATAAATTATAAAAGTATATAGCAATAAATCGTACCAGAAGCAAGTTGTTGACTCATGCCACGACGAAATATATTCACTATGATCGAGCTAGAATTCATCATGCTATTAAAATAATTAAAAATACAACTGTAGCAAATAATACATATATATAATTCTAATATAAAATGTAGGGCAATGACTGAAATAGCGTGAAAATGTAAATAATGATAGAGCACAAATAACACAATAGAAAGCTACAAAATAAAAGAATAAAACAAAAAACAATTAAATAAAACCTGTCAAATTTTCTTGAGAGAAAATAGAGTCCCAGCATTTACTTGTGATATTTAATTATATAACTTAAATAGCATTTAGGGAAAAAATATGTTTTTTCACATATCATATAATGCACTAAATAACACACTTGTAATCAAAAATACAAGTTAAATTATAATGAAATTGTCTATAGTATACAATACTTACCGAGATTAGGCATATTACGAAGAGGCGTCAGAACATGCCCATCAGCTACGGACGAACTCCGCGCCAAAACTAATGATGACAACACCTCGTAAAAGTAAAATATAAATTGCCTAAACATGTATAAAATTTGCAAAAATAAGCACAAACGGTTTTTATATATTCAAAGTTAATTGCTTACACTTAATTTTTAGCTTTATTACCCGAGGGCCTTTTAATTCACGCATACATATGGCTATAACCGCCACCGATGTATGCTCTATTTTCAAGTATTCTCCTTTATTATTTCATTATCTAGCTTGTTAAATATAGAATCTCTGGGCTCTCAATCTTACGATAAAATCTATGGACTTTTCCAAAAGACTTTTCCGAAATGTGAAAACTTTAAAATTTGCAAGATTATTGTAATCCTTCATTCTTACATATTTACATAGGCCTGCCTTTTAAATAATGAATTACTTCCTGATCCACTTCAACAAATTGCGTCCATATTTTTGTTATATGAGTTGAATAAGACGGACACCTTAGCAAACCATCCGTTTGCTAAGTTTATATACCATTACTTGGTTTGTCGCAAAACTTTTTAGTAATTTTAAGCAAAAAACAAGCGAAAAAATATTTCCGTTGTCAGCGAGGATTTTTCTTCACACTATAATGACTCATCCAATTGAGTCAAAACGAGTATGCTAATCCCTTTATAATTATCTTTCTAGCTTTGCAAAATGACAATATTGAATGATGCAAATCCACACATTGATTCTGTTTCAAAAACGGTATATAACTCATATCTAACTGCTTTCTTATATAGCCTGACTGGTCATTTCTTAAACAAGCTTTAGAAAGGCAGGCTGAAAAACTTCCTGTCACAGCTTCAATTGGCGTTTCATGTATTATTCCTGATGAAGATATTCCTCCATTTTCAGAGTAATTATATTTTTAGTAATGTTTAAAACTGTATTCCTTTGCTCTTTACGAGATTGACTTGGTTAACTAGATTATCTTTCATGAAATTTCTCATGCTTCATAATTATTTGTAATTTTATCAAGCATGCGAGAGATTCGAAGATTTTCTTTCGAATTTGCCTATCGTGCAAATTTTAGCAATGCTATCTTA